TATCAGGTCTCCAAGGGAAAAAAAAGAGAAAAAGACACAGCAGCAAAGTTTTGTCTACAAATGTAGCCAGTGGTATTTATTCCGCTACATTGTAGTAATAGAAAACGGAAGGACTTTCCCTTTCAGCCTCTCCTCCAGCCAACGCCATTTTAAAAGGCTTTTTTTTCCTCTTTCTTTTCCTCCTCTCTCTTAAGTAAATTTTTTTAAAAAAATCAGTAAAATACTTGCAGTTCAGTATTACAGGTCCAGCTCACATTTTCTTTAAGTAGTCTGTTAAATTTGCAGGCTTGCTTTTGACGCCTGGCTCTGCATCAGCAGAGGTCTCCCAAAGCCCGGAGCAGCGGCTGGGGATACGGGGCATCTCATCCGCTCCGTCCCAAAAGTAAAGGAAAAACTTTTGGGACTCCGCAGAGAGTTCTACCCACCCCTGCCGGCTCTATCTCCGTTTCCTCATGGAAACGGAGTTTTTTCGAGCCGCCATTCCGTTGTGAAGGCGGCTCTGACAGGCGATGGAAGCTGACGATCCCAAAGGAATGTCTGGCAGCGACAAACAGCAAACCGGAAGTCTTTCCGTTGTTGATAGCCACGTTGGGTTCAGAAATATATTTGAATGAATGATGTGCTAGAATTTTGGGAAGTAGTAAATTATTTTCGGGCACTACAGTCAATTATTCAGCATTAATAGCAAACTTTGATTTGTTATCAGAAAAAATAGCCAAGGCATAGGGCAAAATATTGATAAACGATAGGGAAACATATAAATTTCCTGAATTGCACCAACATCCAGCAGTCTGACATCAGGTATAATCCAGAAAGTTGTAATTCAGCACATTTAGAAGACATCTAGCACATTCCCCAACCCAGCCAAGGTGAACGGCGAGCTGGTGGAGGCTCCGACCAGAACCCTGGGGAATGGAGCCTCCCTGGGTTCGGACCCGAGGCAAAGGGAGAGCAGGTGGCATGCTTACCTTTGGTGAGCAACGCGGCTGAGGCATGGAGGTGAGGAAATTAGCTGGGCCATGTGGTGAAGACAACATATATAGGGTGGGGTGGGGCAGGGCAATAGAGTGGGAAGATGCGAGCGGCGACCGGGCAGGCGGGAATGAACAGCGAGAAGGTGGGGGAGGGGCCAGCCAGAGGTCGTATTTGCCAGTTCAGTGAAGCAGTTATAATTTCCGTTACCAGTTCGCCCAAAGTGGTCCTAACCAGCTGAATACCACCTCTGGCTATGAGTATATAAATAATAAATATTCATAATAAATATATAACCATTATATTCAAGTTTGTGTCATTAATGTCAATGACCACTGTGCAATCTGTGAATAGCTGACTTGCTAAAGCTCATGTATGCTCTATGTATGTTCTATGCATAAAAACATTTCTAGCGGTAAGCTAAATCACCAACATGAGAACATATAGTATATCAACTTACAAATGTACTATAATACCACAATATTAATGCCCTTCTAAAAATATCATACTATCATACTCAAAACATAACTAAACATTTCCAGATTAATTGTAGAGACTATATTTAGTATGCATATTGTTTTATTTTTGTTAAAATCTAGAATGGTTGGAAAAACAAAAATATTGATTCATAGTTATAAATTGTGATAACATTAACATTAAATAAGATGATTATGTATTATGTGCTTCTTATTTAAATAGAGATAATCAATTACACCAAAATATAGAAACTACCAGGTCAAAATGATCTCTAATATAAACTTAATCATGCTTTAGTCTGAATGAAATTACAGAGTCATTATTATAACACCCCATTAATTTCAATAAAACAAAATGTGTTTCAAACACTTAGAAAACACTACCTGATAAATTTAATCTAATAAGGTTGCTAAAAATTCTGGACTTGAATCAAGATTTATATATTGAAATTTGGCAACAATCTACCTTTTTAAAAACGAAATAAAACAGTTCCAAAACATGAAATTTCAGGAAGTATGAACTGATTCCCAACAAAATGGAAAGGACAACTGTACCACTGAAAAACTTTGTTGGTACACTGACACCACTGTTCATATGCTGTGGTAGACAAGTATCAAACAGCAACAGTTGTATTTCAGCAGTTGACATGCACTCCCTGAATTGCTCTATTTGTTGAGACTATGGTCTCAACATAAGGCAGGGGGGTCAAACTCAAGGTCAGCGGGCCGGATCCGGCCTGCAGGATGCTTAGATCCGATCCACGAGGCCAGCCTAGAAATAGCAAAGGACTGGCCTGCAGTGCCTCTGCTAGCAGCCTCCCCGCAACCCAATTTTGGCTTGGACAGCCTCATTCAGCACTCTACTGGCCAAAACAAGCCACAGAGGCCTCCAGAGGCCTCTTCCCGCCTGTAACAGACCGAAATGGAGCATCCATGGGGCGCATCTGGCTCTCCAAGGCTCCATTAGGCTTCCCCCAGCCTGTTACAGGCCGAAATGGACCTTCCGTGGGACGCATCTGGCCCTCCCCACCCTATTTTCCATGGCTTTACTTACTTACTTTTCGAAGAGTTCCAGAAGAGGCTGACCCATGTGGCAGAGAAGCCTAAGTCTTTAATTTAGAAGCCCGTGAAACTGTAAGAATGTGTAGGAAAACAGCTTTTCCCATCTGAATAAAAGACCGGCTTCTCTGCCATGATGGCCATGACGGCCTGGAGGCTTAGTTTGGGCCCACTCTGGCTGGCAAGGAGCAGCTTCCTGTTTGCTGCTGACTGGCTAATTCGAATGAGCAACTTCAGGGATTGGGGCGTGGCAGCCAATCAACAAGGAGCTTGCAGTTCAGATCAACGAGACAAAGGAAACAAGCTCCTTGTTGATTGGCTGCTGCTGCTGCCTCAATCCCTGAAGCAGAAGGCCTTTTCTACTACCAAAAGCGTCCTGGCCACATGGCTCTGGCCTAGCTGAAGTCTTTTACTCAGAAGCTGCCTGTTTTCCTTAGATTTCATGTTCTTACAGCTTTGCCATCATTCGAATAAAACACTGTGGCTTCTCTGCCAGTGGGTCAGCCTCTTCTGGAGCTCTGGAGATCTTCAAAAAGTAAGTAATCCATGGGAAATGGGGTGGGGAGGAGTAAGTGGAATCTGGGATGCTGGCAAAGAAGGCCCAGTCTATGGGAACCTGGCAGGGCAGGATGTGGGAGGAAGCAATTGGGGGGGTCTCCAGGGGAACATGAGATATCTCAATAGACTGGAGGAGGCCTTGGATGGCTTGCACCAGCACTAGGCCCCGCATGCTCTTTCCCACTCTGAGATATCTCATGTGCATTTAATGACCTGAGCATTTGATTAACACATGCATTGGGGAAAGCAGAAGTGGGTTTCAGCAGGTTCTGACCAGTTCTGGAGAACTGGTAGCAGAAATTTTGAGTAGTTCGGCGAACCGGTAGTAAAAATTCTGACTGGCCCCGCCCCCATCTATTCTCTGCCTTCCAAGTCCCAGCTGATCGGGAGGAAATGGAAATTTTACATTATCCTTCCCCTGAAGTGGGGTGGGAATGGAGATTTTACAGAATCCTTCTCCTGCCATGCCCGCCAAGCCACGCCCGCCAAGCCATGCCATGCCCATCAAGCCACACCCACAGAACTGGTAGTAAAAAAATTTGAAACCCACCACTGGAAAGCAGGGAGTGGTCACGTTCATTTAATGTAATTCAATCAAATGAATCCTCAGGTTACAAATGTAATTGGCAGACTCTATTACATTTGTAACTCTAGGATTACCTGAGAGTGAGGGAGGATCTCAGGGAAGTCTTAGCCCTTGGCCACCACAGGTGCCTCCCCACACAAGTCCCATGCCACACTCACCATGGCCATGCCCATTCCAGCCATGGCCACCATGGCCACATCCCCTGGGCATGTCCCGCTCCCACCACTCCAAGATCAACCCTGATGCAGTCCTCAGTGAAATGGAGTTTGACACCCCTGTCCTAGGGCCACAAAAGATAGGGACTTTTCTTTTCCAAAATTGAAGTAAGGTCTTCCTAAGCAGTGGTTCCCAAGGCAGAGATAAAGAGATAGATTTATTGGATCTAAAAACCTTCAATAACATTCCACAATACTTCCAAGTTCCTACAACCATTAGGACCAATACATTTAGACAATACATATCTTAAATGAATTTAATCCATTTGAAATAATAGAAATCCCTTCCTTTGGGGGGGGGAAACCTTGGAGTTGAATTGATTTTCTCATGTCATTTTATGCTGGTTATTGTAAAGTAGTAAGACCAAGTAAGAAGAAAAAGAAAAAATAATTTTAAAAAACAGACTCATCAGTTGATAGATTATGAAGGAAATTCAAGCAGAAACAAGGAAATCAAGGTTAGCAATCTAGCACTTCATATTTTACACTGTAGATAATCTCTTCTATTAATCATTCTGCCTGGAGTTTACCTTATACTGCACTGTATAGTAGTCCAAAGCAATTTCTGTAAATTTCATATTCACATTTCTAAAACTGAGCATGTTTTCTTTGAAACATAATTGTTTTGACTTCCGCAATTAAAGCAATCCAAGACATGTAGATTTGGTGGAGAGGGTATTTATAATGGATGAGAATTGTTTCTTTTTTGTTTTTCAAAGAAGATGAAAACCTCTTATTAATTTTTGACAGGGCTTCTGTAGTCTCTTTTATATTAAACAATTATCTAATCAGGATAATTTCCATAGTAAAATACCAAGTATTTTATATTCTTTCCCACTATGATTATTTTTAAAAGTATCACAACAGGAATTTTCCATAATAAATATCACTATTAATCACTCAAACTAATTAATTTGGAAGAAAAACTTAAAATCTGATTCCAGAAGAGGTCTCATTCTGGTAAATAGGTTTTCTCATTACTCCCCACTCCCCCCACCCCCACCCACCATCAGTATAATCCCTAAAATCCTTGCTTATTAACTTTAGTTTTATTTGAAAACAAGAGCTGAATCCAAGTAAAATAACTCAATTCACATGAAATATACGGTAGTTAGAAAATCTCTAGTTACTTACCATTAGATGTTGTGCTGGAGGCCGCAGCTTTCTCACTGACCTCTGTTCGAGCGGGGTATTTTACAATGGGATTCTCAACCTTTTTCTTCTCACTTGTGGCAGAGCTATGGGATTGAGCTTCCATGATGACTTCTCATTACTTCAGTCTTCTTCACACAAATATCTGCATTAACAAACACAGTTGTAAGATTTCCTTCAAAAAGCAGGAAAAGGTCAGAAAAACCCTGCCATGTTTTTTTTTCAAGACATGTTGCTTATTGGCCCTTAAAACACAGAGACCAAATCATAAATTCTATCAAATCAATTTTAACTTATTATCTTTATACCCTTATCCTGAACTTTTACAAGAGCTATAAATTAGGCTGAAAAGGATGAAATCAGCATAGAGAGCTTAATGTTTATCACTTGTATTATCTACTTCAAAACGCTGAGCTTGTCATCTGGAAAGCTGACAGACCAGGTTCGAGACCCAAGCGCTACACAATGGAGTTATCTACAATATTTGCCCCTGCTTCTGCCTACCTAACAGTTCAAAAGCATGCAAATGTGTGTATATAAATAGATACCACTTCAATAGGAAGATAACAGGGTTCCATACACCTCAGCGTATAGTAGTGCTGGTCAAATGACCACGGAAGTATCTTTGGACAACCTAGGCCTCTCGGCTAAGAAACAGAAATTAGGTGCATCCCCTAAAGCTGGACGTGATTGGACGGGGAAACCTTAACCTTTACTGATTTTTTATTTCTTTACATTCATCTCACATTATGTCACTGACTTAACATTTATATTTTTGTAAATAATATAAAACAAATATTGTAGATCTTTAACATATTTGCATAAGAATATTTTGAAAAGTTATCTTTCTTGCTCTGTCCCAAAATTCCAAACCTAGCAACTGAGGACCAATATTTTAAGTATGTAAGATTAGGCAGAAGTTGAAATATAAGTAACAAGCTCTATTGTCTACATTTCCCATAGCTGTTAACAACTGCAGGTCTTCCCAATGCCATCTTTACTTAGTTTACTGCTTTCACTTAATTATATCTGTATAGGATTATCTCTTTCACATGGGAACAATCCATTACTTCTCTTGCTGGAAGACTACCATAAATTCTCGAAATTCTTGGGAATATTTATGTCCTTGGTATCATCTCCACTCTCTACATATTCTGAAAACCTTTGAGTTGAATGTGCCTCTTCTGAGGACTGTACCACTTTCATAAGTCTATCAACCCGCTTAACTCTGCTTTTCCTGGCTCTCTACAAAGTAGTAGTTCTTCTCAGAGAAAATCTGTCTTTTCTGCCATTTTCAAGTCTATTAGTTTGGTATAGGCTCTGGTAAGAACTCTGGTTTCTATAGCCAATTTTTGCAAAAACTGAGCCCTGCGAGAGGCAAACTTCCATTTTGTAGCCCTTTTAGTTTAGTTTAGTTTAGTTTAGTTTATTTGATTTGTATACCGCCCTACTCCCGAAGGACTCAGGGCGGTGAACAGCCAACAATAAAATACATAAATACACAAAATTTAAAAACCCGATAAAATCAAATTAAATTATTTGGCCCAGACAAATTAAAATACCCCAATAATTTTAAAACAGATTAAAATTTACGTATTTAAAAAGGGAAGAGATCAGGCCAAGCCCGCTTGATGGAATAAAAAGGTCTTCACAGCACGGCGGAAGGAGCGCAGATCCGGGATCCTCCGTATCTCCGGGGGGAGCTCATTCCAGATAGTAGGTGCCCCCACAGAGAAGGCTCTCCCCCTAGGGGCCGCCAGTCGACACTGTTTGGCTGACGGCACCCGGAGGAGTCCCTCTCTATGAGAATGTACTGGCCGGTGGGAGGCTATTGGTGGTAGTAGGCGGTCCCGTAAATAACCAGGCCCTAAGCCATGGAGCGCTTTAAAGGTGGTAACCAAAACCTTGATGCGCACCCGGAAGACCACTGGGAGCCAGTGCAGCTCGCGCAGGAGAGGTGTTACATGGGAGCGCCATGTCGCTCCCATTACCACCCGCGCAGCCGCACTCTGAGCCAGTTGGAGCCTCCGGGTGCTCCTCAAGGGGAGCCCCATGAAGAGAGCATTACAATAGTCCAGGCGGGAGGTGACGAGGGCATGAGTGACCGTGCGTAACGATCCAGAAAGGGACGCAACTGGCGAATCAGACGGACCTGATAAAAAATCCTCCCGGTCACGGCCGTCAAGTGCTCTTCTAAAGACAGCTGTGAATCCAGGAGGACGCCCAAGTTGCGAGCCCTCTCCGTGGGGGCCAATGATTCGCCCCCAATAGTCAGTGATGGCGTTAACTGGCTATATCGGGACGTCGGAAACCACAGCCACTCGGTCTTGGATGGGTTGAGCCTGAGACTGTTCCTCCCCATCCAGATCCGTACGGCCTCCAGGCACCGGGACATCACTTCAAGGGCATCGTTGGGGTGGTCCGGGGTGGAGATGTACAGTTGGGTGTCATCAGCGTACTGATGGTACTCCACCCCGAAACCACGGATGATCTCGCCCAGCGGCTTCACATAAATGTTGAACAGGAGAGGTGAGAGGACCGACCCTTGCGGCACCCCACATATGAGGGGCCTCGGGGTCGACACAGACTGCGACCAGTCAGAGAGAAAGGAGGAGAACCACCGCAACACAGTGCCTCCCACCCCTAACTCTTCCAACCGGTGCAGCATGATACCATGGTCGATGGTATCAAAAGCCGCTGAAAGATCTAACAGGACCAGGACAGAGGAGCACCCCCTGTCCCGAGCCCTCCAGAGATCATCAACCAACACGACCAATGCCGTTTCCGTGCTGTACCCGGGCCTGAAGCCCGACTGGAACGGATCCAGATACGTCGTTTCATCCAGGTGCTGGGGGAGCTGTTGCGCAACCACACTCTCAACAACCTTCGCAACAAAACGAAGGTTGGAGACCGGACGATAATTTACCAACATTGCCGGGTCCAGGGAAGGCTTCTTGAGGAGAGGCCTCACCACCGCCTCTTTCAAGGCGGCAGGAAAGACACCCTCACCCAGCGAAGCATTTATAATCCCCTGGAACCAGCCTCGTGTCACCTCCCGAGAAGCCAGCACTAACCAGGAGGGACACGGGTCCAATAAACAAGTGGTCGCGTTCAGTCTACCCAGAATCCTGTCCACGTCCTCAGGGGTCACAGGATCAAACTCATCCCAGATAACATTCTCAAGACCTGCCCCAGTCCCTCCCCCTGAGACTATCCAGTCGGAGTCCAGATCTTCCCAAATCTGAGCGATTTTGTCATACAGATATTGAACAAAATCCTCGGCTCTACCCTCCAAGGCTTTGAAGCCAAAGCTTATTTTCTTTCCATGGAGTGTTTAATGAACTCCCCGAGTTTAAGCCCACTTCACTTGTATGGTTGCCATCTTGTATTGGATACCTTATCTTTTTATGGACACCCCATCTTTTGGATATTGCACCACTGCCATCACTTTGTCACAGATTCTTTAAAATATACCGGTCAGGCTAGTACTCAATGCTCACCACTATCCATTGATCCACAGGCTAGTACTCACTGCTACTATACCTATTCAGTCTAGAAGAGTTCAAATCACCAGGTCTAGATGGATTACATCCCAAGGTTCTGAAGGAACTAGTAATCATGATCCCAGAACCACTCAACCATCCCTTTCAAAGATCATGGAGCATCAGAGAACTACCAGAAGACTGGAAAAGAGTCATCATGGTTTCCATCTTCAAAAAAGCAAAAACATGGATCTAGGAAACTACAGACATATCAGCATGAAATCAATACCTGGGAAGATCCCAGAAAAGATAATCAACAACAAATTGTCAAAAATAAATCATGCCAAACAAATTTTATTGCATTCTTTGACAAAGTGACTAAATTAGTGGACCAGTGAAATGTTGTGGACATAATTTATTTGAGCTTCAATAAGACATTTGATAAAGTAGGCAAGTATTACTACTTGATAAGTTAGAAAAATGAGAATTAGACAGCATCACCACCAGATGGATTAATAACTGGCTGACAAACCATTTAATGTATAATCCTTAATGGAGCCTCATCTACATGGAAAGAAGTATGCAGTGGGATACCCCACGGTTCTGTGGTAATCCCAGTACTCTTCAATATCTTTATCAATTATTTAGACAAGGATAAACAGGGAACCTATCAATGACACCAAGCTGTCAGGAATAGCCAACACTCCAGAGGATAGGTTCAAGATCCAGAGGGATCTTGAGAGTTTTGAACATTGCGCCCTATGTAACAAAATGAAATTCAAGGTGAAAAAAGTCAGGTTTCACACTTAGGCAAGAAAAAACAACTGCACAGCTATAGAATAGATAGTACCTGGCTCAACAACAATAGGGATCTAAGAATCTTAGTGGACAGCCATTTTAAATATGAGCCAGCAGTCTACTGCAGCTACCAAAAAAGTCAATGCTGCATTAACAGAGGGATAAAATCAAGATCATGTGAAGCATTAATTCCATTTGTTAATGCCTTGGTTAAACTACACCAAACTCTGTCAGCATAGCTTTATTTTGCTTATTAGAGAGAGGGCTTAAAAGAGGCAGGCCAACAGAAGCAAAGATGTAGGCCATTTTCTAGGCAGCCTGCCGTCTCCCATATGGATATAAGGATATCCAATTTCTTGAATTACCATCTTTAATACTATATGTAAAAGATATTTAAATCAAAAGGAGTTGTTTCCAAAAGATGTAATTAAAACTTACAAAAGAAGCTTTATATATTCCCTGTACACACATTCCCACCACCCAAAAGCCATCTGTGAATAATTGCTAAGGGATTGGGCAGAAAGTAAATTCGTTCCTTCTGTTTTCTGTAAATCTGAAGCTAAACTGATCATCCATTTGACTCTCAATCCAAATATTTAAACTTTGACATTTATATCAGTCTAACCAAACCACAATTAATATCTTTAAGGATGATCATGTAAACAGTTCATTTTGTTTGTTTTAGAAATGTAAAGCTAAAAAGGATTATTGAAGTATGACACCTGGAGGAGAAAAATAGAGGAAAGAGACAATGAGGAGACTGATCACTAGTTAACTGTAAAACTATTCAACAGCCCGATAATGTAATATATGGTGCAGCGATATATTGCTATCCTAGCTTGAATCTTCTAATTTTAGGATCTTT